ACTGGCAAAATTCATATAATTGAAGGAAGGATGAAAGGGAAAATGTACTGAAACATTCTTGATAAAAATCTGCTGCCATCTTCCAGGATGATGAAGATGAAACAAGGGTGGACATTCCAACGAGACAATGATCCCAAACACACAGCCAAGGAAACTCTCAATTGGTTAGCATATGCGACCAAAATGGTCGCAATTTCGAGCCTTGATACAGGAGGCGTCTTGAAGCTGTCATCACCAACAAAGGCTTTTGTACGAAGTATTAAATACATTTCAGTATGCGTGTTCAATACTTTTTCCCTGGGTCATTCCATTTTATTACACAGAACTTAATTTCTGAACTTATTTGTTTTGTTTTCTTTGTATATATGGATTACTTTGGGTTTACTGACATCTGGTGAAAATTTCATGTCAACAGCACCTTTAGAAATATATTTACTGAGAAAAATGGTGACATGTTCAATACTTATTTTACCCACTGAATGTGTAAATATATATACACACACACACACACACACACATTTGTTTTTGTGAATTGTGGGGACTCTCCATAGGTGTAATGGTTTTTATACTGTACAAACTGTATGTGCTATTGCCCTACACCAACCCTACACCTAACCCTACTCCTCACAGGAAACTTTGTGCATTTTTACTTTCTCAAAAAAACTCACTCTGTATGATTTATAAGCGTTTTGAAAAATGGGGACATGGGGTAATGTCCTCATAAGTCACCTTCTCCTTGTAATACCTATGTCATTATACAAATTTGTGTCCTCATATGTCACAAAAACACGCACACACACAATTTAATAGAAACATTACACTGAATTGGAACCAGAATTATTAAATTTCATTTTGGTCTGTTCCTTATGCAAAGTGATATGGCTAATGACTATGAACAACTTTTATGCTGTTTATTCTTCTTTTTCAAGGATGAGGGTGAATACATTTCGGTGTAACTTTAATATTTGGTGAACTATTCCTTAAACTCCAATTGTCGAGATTGTGTTTTGTTTTACTGATAAACATTAAAGATGAATAAATGACTGAGTCTTTTATAGTAAGTATTTACTAAGTATTTTTAGATGGACTATCCCTTTAGAATACTACATAGAACACACAATCATTGTTCCATGTGCAGGAATGTCATCCTAAGTTTATGCAACCTTCCTCAAAACACAGGACGCCTCGTACTCACCCTCAGTGGCCATCTTGCAGAGCAGTTGGTCGGCCAGCTCTTGCGGGAAGACCAGCGGCTCACGGAAGGAGAGCGAGCCGTCATCACGCATCTCACAGAAGAGCTCCAGCCTGGAGCTCACCAGAGTCATGCACAGATCGGTCAGAGACGGCGGGGAAGCCTCGTCCTACAACAACAACAACATCATCAAATCAGACACACCCTCATGACCTCAACCCTCATACGTCTTTCTTTTCCTAGGTTTGGGAAGTTTTCTTTCATTACACTGCCTAGGAAATGAATCCTTTGATGTATTATATTGTAAGTAATGACTAAGGGGAAGCGGTGGTTTTATTTTCACTGGCAGCTGAGTGCAAAACCAGTCTCTTAACTGGATAATAGACCTTTTTATATCAACTAGTCCAGGGGTTTTCAAACTGGGGTCCGGGGACCCACAGAGGACCACAAGGAAGTGCTATGGACGGGAGTATGTGGAAAAGATTAGTGAAAAACTGTAAAATTAAAAATAAATAACTACGGAGCCCTGCATGTATATATAATGGTTATGATTTAAGAATTAGTTCCCACAACTTATTAATTTGTCCCTTCATTTTAGTTTAATCCTGACCACATTGTACTAATTCGTTCCCTCATTTTAATTCAGTCAAAACCACGGGTAACAAATTAGTACAACATAGCCATGATTTACTAAAATGAAAGAACAAATTCTTAATTTGTGGCCATGATTATACTAACATGAGGGAATGGAATAAAAAGGGAACAAATTCTTTAATTCAGTATTAAAAATACAGTATGTAAGTATTTCGTAATGCTATTCTTATTTTGCAAATGTAGTTTTTGGCTAATAATAATATCATTTATAGTTATTATATTTGAGACAGCAAGAGAAATTTCTTTATAAGTTACATATTACTTATTAATAATGTATATTTAGTATTTTAAGTACATTTTATATCCATAAATGCTATTTTATATTTTTCGGAGATCTGACAATAAGCATATTTGGTCGTGAACAATATTAAGTAATGTAATATAGCATAGAGAATAGCATACTACTTTTAATATATCTGACACATAAAGATGATCATTTTCCGTGGCCATGATCAAGATATTTCGCACACGTCATCCCAGGACGCCATAAATAACATAAGAATAATAATAAATTCAATAAATAAAAGTTATATTTAAACAAATACAATTATTTTAATTAAAATAAGTAAACCAAATTTTGATTTAAATAATAAATGTAACAGTATAATATTACAGCAAGTTGGCAAAAAAACAAAAACAATGTAACTTCGTTACTAAAAGTTTTCCAAATATTTCAAATTGGTATAGTACACATTACTGTATTGTACATATTGGCAGCAACATATTTTCATTTTCATACGTATTAGGATAGGGGTCCCGCGCATGAAGATTTTCATGTTTTGTGGGCCGTGAGATCGGAAAAAATACTGAAACCCCTTCATTTAGTCTACAAATTGACCGCTGGAGAAAGTGTTGGTGTTTTGCTCAAGGAACAAAATGGTGCTTTAAAGGGGTCATATGATGCGATTTCATTTTTTCCTTTCTCTTTAGAGTGTTACAAGAAGGGTTTGAGCCTATAACCTGGTAGCTACAACCTTGTGATCAGCACAATAAAGAACTGAGAAAACATCGTAGAAGAATCTCCTAGACAGTCAGTCATTCCGAATGCAGCACAATTTATGACCACCAACATGTTACTACAAACCTCAGAGTTGATTTACAGTACTTTAACATCTGAGGAATGACATGAATCATCTGGCGAACTACAGTAGTGTGACATCGAAAGCCTTACCATGGTCTCGAAGAGATGGATCATAACGGCCTCGAAACGAAAGAAACGCTCGTATTCTGCGGATAATGGCAGGTGGGTTGAGGTGTACGTTAGATCAAATACAATCCGATTTAAATGCTCTTAGCTTCTCAGCCCGTTAGCCGTCAAACATCGGTCTTCAAGCATTTGCAGATCCTACTTGTCGGTGTTTAAAAGAACACGGGCCGCTATAAATCCACTGTAACCTCTGTTCGTCGTCTGCATTGTCGTTTAGAGGATTTCTTCTGCCGGACAGTTCGTACGTGCTCCTGTCATTACGTGCTGTCAGGCATTTTGACGGGTTTTTATATCTGGAGGAAACGGCAACGACGCCTTGACAAGTAAGCGTCACGCGGGAAACCTCATCAGAGGGGGCGGGCCTTCGGAAGAGCAGCTTCTGTATTATGACAACAATAATACACTTCTGTTTCCTAAATTTAGGATGAATTTTTGTAAGTACATTTTATATCCATAAATGTTATTTTATACTTTATACAGTTCTAAAAATCTAAACATACACACATTTACGTAAATGTGAATAACTAATTTTAATATTTCTGACGTATAAAAATGATGATTTTCTGAATTCAGCCAAAGTAAGAAAATTGGGCAAGACCTACGAAAGATAAACTTTATATATGTATTACAGTGCATTAGTACGAAAATATAAAAACGGTTAGAGTAAATATATAACAGTATTTGTAAATAATGTATGTAAGATGAAAGATGATACTAACAATACACTTAGAAATAAGTCAGGCACATATTTTTTTGACCACAAAGACCATAAGGTTTTGGTCATTTTATGGTTTCCTACGTTTAAGGTGCAAATTTTGTAGTTTTAGAAATATTTCTATTCAAGTTTTAAGTTGTTCTATTTATAAGGTTTCGATTTCTAAGTTTTATTTACATTTCTATATATTTTCTATAACTCGGTATCGCAAAATACAGTATGTAAAGGTTTTATTTTATGCTATTTACATTGTAAATGTAGTATTGTTTGGTTAAAATAATTGAGTCTTAGATCATTTGTGATCTTTTGATATTTAAGACAGCAAGATTCAGGAAGAAATAGACATTTCATTATAAATGGCATTTTATTTATTCATATTTAAATGTATTATTTTGTATACATAAATGCTATTTTATGCTTTATGGAAATCTAAAATGCGGTTGTGAACTATACTATAAAATACCACTTTTATTTTTTTTAATTCATGCCAAACAACAAGAAAAAATCCATTTGTGGATGAATTGTGTATGATTAACAAAGTTAAAGCCTACAGAATTGTGATAAATACAAATAATATCAAAAGAATTTATACATATTCTGACAATTCTTTTTTTTCAGAGAGAAAGGTACATAACTCGATCCAAAAAGCTTTAACACAAATTCATTCACAAAAAAAGATGTACAATCGTAGCCTACTTTTAATATTTCCGCCAAATAAAAATGATTTTGCAAGACAGTACAGTGGGCGGGGCCTACGGAAGCCCGTTGGTGACTATGAGCGAAGCAGGAAGCGATCTCCGGCTTCTGCGCGTCTGTAGCGTAAGCACGTTGTTCTGTAACTGTTTCATAATTGTGAATATTTGATAACACATGTCTAAATTTAGCTAAAACGAATCTTTATGTTTTGGACGGATGCGTTTATTATTCATTATCAAAAATCAATTTTCCTGCAAGTTCTTGCACAACTAATCAGTGACCAAGGTCAAGATTTGTGGACGCGAGACCTTCAGCCGGTGTATGCAAGTGATCGGGAATCAGTTACCACATGGCCGGGTTGATTAACTTTGAGGACGAACAGGAGGTGAAGCAGTTTCTGGAGAATTTAGGAGTGGAGTACAGTTATCAGTGTTACCGGGAGAAGGATCCTGAAGGTCGGTTGAGCGCTGTCCCTCTCGCGCGGGTGCTGAACAGCTTCGTGATCTCGGTCATCTGTGTTTCTTGTGTTTGTTAGGCTGTCAGAGGTTGGCAGATTATTTGGAGGGTGTGAAGAAGAACTATGAGTCCACAGCCCAGGTTCTCAAGCACAACTGCGAGGTGAATGGCCATGGAGAGAGCTGTTATAAGCTCGGCGCCTACCATGTCACCGGCAAAGGTAAAGCCAGCGTTTGTTACTAGAATTTAGGATCATGCAGATCTTAAAGGGGTCATATGATGCGATTTACATTTTTCCTTTCTCTTTGGAGTGTTACAAGCTCTTGGTGCATAAAGAAGATCTGTAAAGTTGCAAAGACTAAAGTCTCAAATCCAAAGAGATATTCTTTATAAAAGTTAAGAGTCAGCCACACCCTCCTAAAACGGCTCGTTCTAACACGCCCCCACATACCTACGTCACGATGTGGGAAGATTTGCGCGGCCCAAATGTTCACGCAAAGAAAGAAGGCATAACTTTTATTGTCGCTGTAGTATTGTTGTTGCCACCGCCGCCATGTTGTGGAGATGCTGTGTGTTTCGTTGTGAAATATTGTAAGGGGTGTAACATTTCCGTCACACACTTGAGGTATTCGGCCAATACCAACGCACTGGATAGCTGGCCAATCACAGCACACCTCGCTTTTCAGAACGATGAGCTTTGTAAAAATCGACGCGTTTCAGAAAGGCGGGGCATAGAGGAGAAACAATAATGTACAGTATGTGGAAAATAATGTGTTTTTTGAACCTTAAACCGCATTAAACACATTTCATTACACCAAATACACAAAATAATGTTCTTTTTAGCAACATCATATGACCCCTTTAAAAGCTTGTTTCCAGTGTCAAAATTATAGTTTAATTTTTATCATTCTAAATGCATAATTGTGTCATTACTAATATAATTCATATTGGACTGCATATGGATTGGATGGATTGATATGCAGGCACTTAATAAACATACAAGTGTATTAATATCTTTAAAGTTTGTTTCTTCACTGCCAAAAAAAAAGAAATCATATTATATTATTTACATTTTGTTATTATTTTGGCTTAGTCCTAATGGGATGAAATAACTTTCTATTTCTTAGTTCTTATTTCTTAGAATTTGTTTGACAAACATAGGATTTAGTCCAAAATCTAGACATTAAATTATTATTAGTTTATGATTTTTAACAAAGCAATTCTGTAGTAAATTACTATGATTTTAACTTACCTATATATGATTTTGTAATTTATGTTTTAATTTTCATATCTATAAATCCTAGTTACATTTTGGAATTTTTTAAATATTTATTTTTATTTTTATTTATGTATTTATCTGTTCACTATAGTAGACATGCTGTAAAATGTAAATAAAATCGAAAAGTCACAGAAAGCACACAAAACAATAAATAATAACAATAAAATATATGTATATCTATATGTATGTACAGTGGGGAAAATAATTATTTGATCCCCTACTGATTTTGTAAGTTTGCCCACTTACAAAGAAATGAAGGGTCTATCATTTTTATGGTAGGTTTATTTTAACGGTAAAATCAACAGGGGATCAAATAATTATTTTCCCCACTGTATATGTATAATATAAAATACATACATTTAATATTATATATATTATTATATGTATTGTATTTTTATGAAATGTTGTTATAAGTGATATACTAAAATAAAAGAAAAAAATATGTATGCAATGAAAAAAAAAAAATCATTTGCTACAGAAATATTTTTATAAGAAGAAATAAAAAAATAGATATTTTAATAATAATTAACATTCCAAAATTAAAGTCAATATATATTATAGCTGAATTTTAGAGTATTTATATTCCAAATATATATTAATAAATATTTGTAAATGTATTATATGTTATAAATATATTGTAAATATGAAGAGTTCATTTGCAAAAACAGATAACTCCGTTTTTAACAATTTTCAAAAATCGTGTTTTTTCATTGTGCATTCCAATTAATCTCAATCAAACTGCAGTTGGGTTATTTTGATCAGGTAACAAATAACAAAAAACAAATACTAGCTAACTAACACAATAAAAACATGATGATATAATAAAAAACATGATTTTTGAAAAATTTAAAATACGGAGTTATCTGTTTTTGCAAATAAACTCTTCATATATTGTATTTCAACAACTGACTGCTTCTTTTGACATTAGGTGGTGTGACGGAGTGTTTAAAGACGGCATACTCCTGTTTTATGAAGGCATGTAACAGCAAAGGGAAGAAGTCAGTGGATGCTTGTCACAACATAGCTCTGCTTGCCCATGACGGGCGAGCCATGGAGGGGGGAGTAGATGCGAAGGTGGCTCAGCAGTACTACGAGAAGGCTTGTGAGGGAGGCTTCGCCCCCAGCTGTTTCAACCTGAGCGCTCTTTTAATCCAGGGATCTCCAGGGCTGGACAAAAACATGGCGCTGGCTCTAAAGTACGCCCTGCGAGCCTGCGAGCTGGGACACGTATGGGGCTGCGCCAATGCCAGTCGCATGTACAAACTGGGTGATGGGACAGATAAGGATGATCAGAAAGCAGAGGAGCTGAAGAACAAGGCCAGAGAACTCCACGGACAGCAGAAAGAACGCCAACTAAAATTTGGGGAGTGAGATATCATGCCATAACAGTTCACTTTTCCCCAAACTCCTGTTTTGATATCACTGCTATAAACACAGCATAAATTGTTTTAATAAATGTGTTCTATGACACTTTTTTGTTATAACTGGGATGATTTATGTCTGAGAGTGATGGTGTTAATATAAGCCATCTACAGAAACGGTTATAGATAACTTAGACTGTGAGAGTTAGCATAGACTTATTATTAAAGTTTAATTAAATGAATATTCTCTAGTGGTCTGAATTAGGATCGAATCCTTGTAACTCTAGATTTCATTTATTTTTCCAGGTGCTGTGCGTAAAACGACCACTAGATGGAAGCATACTCAAGTTAAATTGAATCCGCACACACACACATTTGAGGTTTTCTGGCGAACTGCTTCTTATTACTATGGTCAACAGATTGCAGTGAACATTTATTTATTCATTGAGACAGACTTTAATATTTTGATGTTTCAAAATGTCCACTTCGTTCACTTAGGTTTGCTAAACGTAAATTACATACTGTATATAAAATGGCTTTGAATTCTTGAAACATTTCACTTTTTCATTTTTAGTTTTCCCCTCATTGCCCCTGTTTACCACTAACATAGATAGATAGATAGATAGATTTTTAATATGATTTTCAGATGTCCCATGTCTATAACGCCAGATGGTCTGATGGTGACCTCTATGATCCCAGTGTGAAGAGGTCAGTAGCTGCTATTAGTGTTGGGAAACAAGAATTTTCCATTTAAATACCGGAACCAAATGATTGTCATGATGCTCAGCTCTGTTAACTGTTCTTGAACCCACATTCTAACGCCAGTCTAAACAGAACACCATTTATCATTGTTAACTGCATATTTTAAAAACCACTTCTCGAACGAATAATAACCCTTATGAGCCGGTACTTTCAAATTAACCAGCAACCAGTGTAATCTGATTCACAAACAAATGACTCTTAGGAACCGGTTCTTTTCAGTGAATCAAAATCACAACGCGGCCACTGTAGTCTGATTTCTGAACGAATGACTCTTATAAACGGTCCTTATAGTGAATCAAAAACACACAGCGAGTCTAGTTCCCAAACGAATGATTCTTATGAACCCGTTTTTTTTAGTGAATCAACAATTTTTTTCAGTAGCCTAAACAGTACAAACATTAAAACATTAAGGCAGTGAATTATGAACATAGAAGCAAAACATAAGAAAAATATACAACAAGATTATACACAGACACAGGCGTATTGCCAGGGTAACAAAAAACAACAATGTTGTAATACATTTATAACTTAAGTGAATCAACAACATAGGCTAATGCGCGACCCGCGTAGTCTGATTTTCGAGCAAATGACTCTTATGAGCCGTTTTTTCCCAGTGAATCAAAAGCATACAAAGTGCAATCAGTGTAGTCTGCTTCCCAAACGAATAACCCAGTTCATTCATCTAAGTGAATCAGAAACATACAGCGTGACCTGACTTCAGAACGAGTTTAGTGAAACAAACTTTTAACTAAAGACTCACTTACTAAACCGCAATTTATTATTTTCGTCATGTCCGACTCGACATGAACCCGAATGGTTTGTCACACATGAGTTTGAATCAGTGGTAGTATTGTATAAAATGAACGAACTGAATTAATGTTAGGCTACTACATTTTTGTTCAATATTTTTATTACATTTATCAGTGAACACATTATTGCTGTTGAGGTCTGAAATCTAAATAAAAGCATTTGGCAACAAACTCCTGAGGGCAGAATATACAATAAAATTGCATCAAAATTTCCCCAAAATTTCTTCCTTAAAAGTACTAAAAGATGATTCCCAGAAGTAATACATGATGCTCAGGCATTCTTCACCTCCAATGTCACTGCAGCAGCAGCAGACTGAAACCACGCCCTTTCTCAGCATCAGATTAAGCTAATAGCCACGCCCACATTCGCTCTCCTCCAATAACATTGCAGCAGGATCAGACTGAGCACGTAGCCTCGCCCCCTGTCGAATCAACGGACACACACTAGGCTCACTCACGGACACTTGCCGCTCCTGCTGGAACATCACAGGCGCTCGGCTGTTGTTGTTTTATGTTGTTTATATTAGTTTGCTGGACCGTCGCGTGCTGCACGGAGTAACGGTCGCAGCATCCCCGCGCGCGCAGGAGTTGAGCACGGATCGTGAAGCGGTGAGTTTGACGCTGTTTAACGTAACATTAGTTGCTTGTGATGCGCAGTGTGCTGTTATGAGCGAGATGTTAGCTAACAGGCTACAGCAGCAGCAGCAGCAGCAGCACGCCTATGATGAGATTAATAGCGACTAGAGCCGCTCTGACCGGCGACATGCTGTTAACGGACTGAAGATGCGACAGGTTAGGGGGGAATTCATGTGCATGTGTGTGTCATGCGCTGGCTGCGTGTAGTTGGACGACTTTTGCGTGATCAACGCGCGGTTCTGATGATAATAAACTAGGCTTTTGCGGCTGGCGTGTACGTGTGTGTGTGTATTAATCTGCAGGATTAAGTTTATTCTCGTGGTTGATGCAAGTGGATCAATGCAGGATAACGGCTGTTTGTCTGGAGGGGTTTCATGTGCCCCCCACCCCAGTTTGAATCGGGGTGTGTCTCTCACACACACACACACACACACACACACGCACGCAAACGGAGGTTAATTTGACACTTCTGAACAACCTAATTTCTTTCAAAATTTACCATATTTTCTGCCAAAATACAATAGTTACCAAATTTACTACTGTAGAAGTGGCATTGGTCACTGCTGTCATCACAAAAAAGATATTAAACAAAATTCTGGCACAGTTTGAAAGAGTTCCCATATTAATGTCTTATGATTTTACAGTAGGATAACAGTACATATTGTGTTTTGGTTGTTAACTATGTTATCATAGGCAATTTTAATGGAATATATGTTTAAAAAAACAGTTCTTGTGTGTTTTTACACATCTCAAAACAAACCGAAAGTGATTTTTTGTGTGAATCAAGATCAAATCAGTTATTATTGAACATTTTAAGCTGTATTTATATCTTGACCTTTATTATTATTTTTATTATTCGATTCCGATTCACTAGCTAGATTCAATTCGTTTGGCTATTAGTCTGGTACAGTATGTGACTTTTTTCTAAAAGAAAACAAACGCTCAAATAATGCTCAGGGAACCCTGTGTGTTGGTATGTTACTGTAATATTAAAGGCTAAATTTAACAAAAGAGTCAAAACTATTTAATATAATTGCTGTTTGTTTTAGATGTAATAATTAACACTCAAAAACTGAGTTGTTTACAAACATTAAATGGACAGAATTTGAAAGTGTTTGATACTTTTTCATATGAAAAGTAACAAGGGCTTATTGTAATTATTGAATGGGAGGCACACTCCAAATAATGGTTGATGAAGTTTTGTTCAGGCATCAACAGAAAACATCAAAATGGAGATTGAATTGAGTCATCTATATTGTCAATTATAAATGTGTTCCAAAATCATCAATTATGATGCCCAATATGCCAGTATGCAAGCAGACTATGGTCTGAGCCACAATGAATGTTTATACTGACCGTGAAAGTTGCTGGTCAATAGCACTGAATCCATTCAGAGTCTTTCTGCAGTAAACTCAAGTAAACTAGAAGACATTAATTATTTCTGCCTCAGCACTTATTGATCATATATGGAAATGGGACAGCCTTTCAGGATCCTTCTGTCTGAATAGAGCAAAGTTATGTGATGAAATCACCCTAAATCAAAGTCATGTTTAGTAGCCTGATACTGTAATGTTCAAAAGAGGAAACTAGGAGGATTCATATCATATCATAATCTGAGGATTATGATATGATATGCTCATGATATGTTGGGTTATGACTAACTACGACTCATAATCAAATGTGTCAGTACAGGTTGGTTCATGATGCATTTTGAACCTTGAATTGTTCTCTCTGAAGAACAGAATGAACTTCTGTTTATGGTTGAGGTTCTTCATGCATATTGTAAAATAATTGACAGATGTTTTCTCTGTTAAAACACTATGATACTGTCAAAAATGGCACATTTCGGGTACGTTTACATGAAAACAGTGTACTAAAAATGGTATTTTTGAAAAGTTTCGTGTACAGATGACAACGATCACACGGATCTGCTAAAATGACTAAAAACGCTGTATTGTGCATGCCAGACCAGTAAAGTTTGCGTTTTCAGGCCCCCAAAATGCCATCGTTGTGTAAATGAAAGGCCAAAACGTATAAAAAGTTGTCTGTTTATAGCCTAGTTGAAAACAATAGCAAATCATAGTGCAGTTTTATGTTGCATTCTCAGCGTTGCCACTAGGGGCGCTGTCACAATTATTAGTGTTAAATTCTTCTTTTACTGTCAGTTTTTTCATTATGGTGGAGCAATAATTCGAGAGTATCACGGCGCATTTGCGTGCTTTCCATTGAACATAAACAAGGCGCAGCGCATGTGTGTTCTACATCAGCAGCACCACTCGCATGCGTTGTTTACATTCAGAGGAAAGCATGCACATGCGTCATGATACCAGAGATTGTCTTACTACTGGGAGATGAGAGGGTCTGTATTACTTGCTATTGGAGAAAGCGTAACTGTCAACTTGGATCATGTGTGCCTTTATAACCAATCACATTTGAGTTTTTTTTGCGCCCAAAAAGTATTCTCGTAGCTTCATAAAATTACTATTGAACAACTGATGCCACATGGAACATTTTGTCGATGTTCTTGGTAGGGCTGTGACGGTGGCAGATTTTTACCACTGCGGTGGTAATGGACCAGCTACCACCGGTGGCGCAGTGTTGAGATATAGATATATCCCTTTAGCATTCCTGTAAAATTTGCCTAAAACGCCTAAAAAAGGCATACCCAAAGTAAATTGCATGCTGTTCT